TTCTGTGTATGTATGGGATGCATTGAATGTGTTTAAGGGGTGCATTGAGTGTGTGTAATGAATGCATTGTGTGTAAGGGATGCATTGTGTGTAACGGTTGCATTGCTTGTGTATGTGTGTCTGTGTGAGTAATGCATTGTGTGTTTTTCTGTGTGCAAGGGGTGCATTGTGTGTATGTGATGAATGTCAATCTCTCCTCCAGCTCCAATTTCCTTCTCCTCCTCCCAATTTCTCTTTCCCCCTCCTAATTTCTCTTTCTCACCCCCCCTCCTAATTTCTCTCTCACCCCCCTTCTCTTCCCCCCCTTTCTCACCCCCCTTTCTCCTCTCTCACCCCCCATCACCCCCCCTCCTAATTTCTCTCTCACCCCCCTTCTCTTCCCCCCCTTTCTCACCCCCTTTCTCCTCTCTCACCCCCATCACCCCCCTCACCCCCTTATTTCTCTTTCTCACCACCCCCCATTTCTCCTCTCTCACCCCCCTCATTTCTCTTTCTCAACCACCCCCCCTTCTCTTTTCACCCCCTTCTTTCTCACCCCACTTACCCCCCTTCTCTTTCTCACCCCCTTCTCTTTTCTCATCCCCCTCCCCTCCCCTACCTTGGCTGTAGCATTGGCGGTACCATGGCGGCCCGGGTACAGGGAGCAGCTGTCTCCTGTACCCGAGGCGGGACCCCAGCAGGAGGTGCACACTGTGTGCACTTCCTGTTAGTCCGGCCCGAGGGTACAAGAGAACCTCCACAACACCACGCCCGACTATACAAGCTCGGCTGCCTCAGAGGGAGCTGACGGGAGAGGAGCTTCCCTCCTGTCAGCCTCTCCTCAGGCTGCGCCCGGGCGGTGCGGTCCGCCCTCATGGATGCACCGCCCGGGCAAAGCTGCAGCCGCCTGAGGCTCTTCACAGAGCGCTCGGGCGGCTGCAGCATGGGGGGGGCCGGCGGGGCTGGCCATGGCACCCCCCACCCGGCTGGCACCCGGGGCGGACCGCCCCCCCCGCCCCCCCCTTAGTACGCCACTGCCCACACATGCTTAAACTCCCTCACTATGTATACCTCTACTACTTAAGCCGGTAGGCTATTCCATGTGTCACTACTCAGTAAAGTAATACTTCCTGAAATTATTTTTAAACCATTGCCCCTCTAATTTAAGACTATGTCCTCTTGTTGTGGTAGATTTTCTTCTTTTAAATATAGTCTCCTCCTTTACTGTGTTGATTCCCTTTATGTATTTAAATGTTTCTATCATACCCCCTAACCCCCGTCTCATCTTTCCTCCAAGCTATACATGTTAAGTTCCTTTAACCTTTCCTTGTAAGTTTTATCCTGCAATCCATGAACCAGTTTAGTAGCCCTTCTCTGAACTCTTTCGAGAGTATCAATATCCTTCTGGAGATACGGTCTCCAGTACTGCATACAATACTCCAAGTGATGTCTCACCAGCATTCTGCACAATGGCATTAGCATTTCTCTCTTTCTAATACTAATACCTCTCCCTATACAACCAAGCTTTCTGCTAGCATTTCCTGCTGCTCTTTTACACTGTCTGCCAACCTTTAAGTAATCTGAAATAATTAATCCTAAATCCCTATCCTCAGATGTTGAGGTTAGTAGGGTATCAAATATTCTATACAATCAATATTCACCTTCAAGTAACTTAGACATATATTTTTCTAGGACTTTTGACCATAGGGTCACTCATGTGTGTTCATGTTTTCACAGTCTAACCTCTGTAGGAGGGTGTTGTTTAAGAAACGACATTCATATTAATGAAAAAATACATAGAAATAAAATATACAAATAACTGATTGCTATACATACATTTTGCACAGGAAACAAATACATGTAACGAAAAAACAACTCTGAATTAATGATTAAGCTCTTTGTAGAATGACATGTTTGTATTATGTGGAAGACCTTTTACTGTGTAGACCAATTACAATAGAATTAAGTCTATTCTTTGTAATTTTATAGTAATTATACCTGTATTAAAGGGTGCTTTCTTTTCTTTTATACAACAATGTAAACACTGAAAGAAATTGCATTACTAAATAAACTTCAGGCCTTTTAATTGAAGATTATGCTATCTTTAGTGTACTAATAATCTTAATTTTAATAAAGACAGGAAGCGAGTATTTTGCATAACTCTCTTTACTAAACTCCATAGCAGTAAAGAAAAGGATAGTAAGAACCAATCAAAAATCAGTAGGAGGTATAGTATTCCCAGTGAACAGGCTCCTCCTCCTCTTTCAACAGGCTCCTCCTCCTCTTTCAACCAGTCTTGGGTCTGTAACAGGAGAATCAATCCAAGCGAATTAGGATAATCCATGTGGAGTGTAGGATAAACTTGGGGTAATCCGCATAACAGGAGAATCAATCCAAACGAATTAGGATAAACCCTGGGGAACGTAGGATAAACTTGGGATAATCCACATAGAGGTAACCGTAGGTCCACGTTGAATTACGCTGAAACGAGAACGTGGAATAGGTTAGGTACGAGTCGTAAGACCATGAAAAACATGGAAGGCATCTGCATAGCATATTTCAGTAAGACTATAGTACTATAAGGACAATATACTAGTAATTGATACTTCTCTCCCTATAATACAACAAGGTATAAGAATTATGACATACGAGAGATACACAATATACGTTGGACAGTCGGAATGATGAAGGGAGTGTTAGAGACTTAGTTTCCTATAGAAGGATAGAGGAATCTGAAGAAGGAGCAGCATAGAGATACCTGAAGACCAAAAGGGGTGGGTATGGGTGGGAAAATACTCGCCTCCTGTCTTTATTAAAATTAAGATTATTAGTACACTAAAGCTGGCATAATCTTCAATTTTATTACATGACAGGAGGCTTTGTATTTTGCATTTTTTTTAATTTATTTTTAGAATTTTTTTTATTTTTGTTGTGCATGGTTTGACAAGATGATATATGTTGCCACAACAGCAGAGATAATCATAGCAACAACATAGATTTATACATATGTGGCATTGAAGTGAAAGCACATATTTTTATTTATTTATTTATTTTTAAAAAAAATTCTTTTTGCAGTGCAAAGATATATAACAGCATGCGTGTGGTGCCCCAACAGCAATCCCCACGCTGAGTTTCAACACTTATAACATTGGGGTGTTCAGGAGTATGTGCACATTTTTTACTTAAGAGCAAGAAAGGAAAAGAAAGAATTAAGTTTGCTGAAATCACACAGATTGCTCTCTATGGAAAACAGGCATATCTAGGTAGGTGTGTCGTTTAAGCAGGTGGAGTAAGTAAGTTTAACGGTGCCTGATTGACCAAGCTAGGGTAACTGTGATATGTGAACATGTTATACAGTATTTTTTTTTTTTTTTAAAGTAGGCAGGATGTGAGACATGTTGTTTGGTAGGCATTAAATGAGCTTAGTACAGGCTAGCTCAGCTTGTCTGTTATAGTAACTCACAGTAAGATCGTAGGGCTGGAGATAGACAAATATTGGTGCTGACAGTGCCAATATCAATTAAACATTGTCTATCTAGTCGAGAGCAGGCTTAATAAGTTATGTCATAAAGTTAACATCATGCAGTATGAACTTCAGTATGTTATATTTACTGACATGAAGCGGCTCATGGTTAACATGCTAAGTTAGGCTGACCATGTTCATGTGACTTTGTTTTTTCTGCTTGAGCTTATGGTATGATATGTAGATTACATGCTTAGAAATAATAAAAGTAAAAATATAACAGTTGTCTAACAGATAACTTTACAGTATGCTTGAAAGTCTCTGTTGTCCGGGGCTGCGTGTGTTTTTGCCCTCTGCTCTCCATGGATGTCAGTCCTGGTCATGCAGGATGTCAGATTAAGCTGATGGATGGTGGGCCCAGCGCTGTCCTTCTGAAGGCTTTGTATAGTGAGTCTCTATCATCCGATGCCGTCTCTTTGAAAGCAGCTAGCATTTGGTGGTGAGGTATTGGAGTCCTCTGGAGCAGTAGACAGTATGGTGGCATCCCTCCAGCCCCAGGCTGTTGCATGGGCCTGCATCTCTGTGCCACGAACTGCAGCTTCTGGAGCCCGAGTTTCCTCCCCTTTCAGGGGTAGTGGAGGGCCTGATGGACTTTGGCTATTTGCAGTGTTGGAGCCTCCGTGGGTGTGGGCGATGCATCCGGGTCTTCACCCTTTTGGCCTCCAGCCCGGGTAGGCTCTGTGGTTTGGGGTTGCGTGGGTCGTCCGTCGCTATGCCCAAGGGTATGCCCCCATGTCCCCGCTGCCGGCTGTCTCACTTACCCGCTGTTTGTGCAGGTCCCTGCGCGGTCTGTATTGTTTTCAGGCGGTTTCTTAATTTTGCCCAGAAGCGTCTGAATAGTTCATTCAGGCACTGTGTGGTGTCGTGGTAGATTGTTGCTTGCAATTCGCTACCAGCCGCCATCTTAGGAGTGCCACGTGGGGGATCTCACTGCCTTGTCGTCGTGCTGAGATCAGCATGGCACACACTGTGCGGACCGAGATAACCCCCGCCGGTCCGGGGGGGGGGTAGGAGGTGAGTAATTTGGAGGTTCCCACTGCGGTGTTGTCCACGAGGAGAGCTGCCGCCTCTCCTCGGCAGGGTCTCGAGTAGGCCTCTTGGTACGGGTGCCGGTTCCCGGTTAATGTCGGGTTAACGATTGGTACCTGTCGATGCGCCCGGGTGTCCCCGCTTGTGCTATCACCCTCCAGGTGCTGTACGTGCACGTTTTTCGGGGTTTTTCCCCCAAATTGTGCCGATTTAGTCTGGAGCTCAGTCTCAGCACGTCCATGCAGCCTGGAAGCCAGGCTCCGCACCCAGCACATTTTTTTTTTAACATTTGTAAGAACGTAAAACAAGAATGAAAGCCACCGCAGGATCATGTGAGTGAACGTCATAAAAACACGTTTGGTCTATATATGCCTATGTGTCTGGCCTGCTAACAACAAAATAAAAAAGTGACGATCCTTTACCAGCTTAAACATTGCAGCAAATAAAAGATTATGGTGTAAAGATTAGTGTCGCTGTAGGTTTAACATAGCTGTTATTCCTAGTTGTTTAAACAATTGGTGTCTATACGCTTGTTCAGTTGTAAAACATGCTAAGTATACACGGTTGGCAATTATATGTAACAAGTGCAGTCGTGGTATTTATCTAGCATTAAACAAGAGTAGTGCATTATTATGTTTAAGCCTTTTCCAATTTGTATATACGTCTATGTTGTAGGTAACAGGTAATGAAAAAACAAACAAAAAACTAAGCATGTTATTCCTAGTCCAGAGTTGGGCTGTTGGCTCTCTATCTAGACATTATTATAATGTGCTGGGTAGTGTTCCGATGAACATAAAGGCCTAAAGCATAGGGTTAACACAAACCAAGTGAAACATAGGTAAAGCATATCATGAATGTCCACCAGGTGATTTGCATGGGGACACAGAATAGAAAGAAAAAATATTAAATAAAAAATAAAATAAGATAAAACAATACAAAAGAGTCTCTACGGTACTAGCAGGATCATGGGCTATGGGCTTCTCCGTGAGTCAGTCCGTGTTGTATCAACCGATGCCCGATCTGGAGGCATTGTCTGCCTGCTTAGATCGGTGGTCGAGCGTGGAGGTAAATGATATACAGCAAGATGATTGATGCTTAACTTATTGCAATCGGCATTTGTGCTAGGCATATGTGTGAGAAACAAAACAGTGAGTTTATATTTGTTGTTAAACCAGGAGCTAAGGTCATCATCACGAACATATTTCTATAGGCTTAATTAAGTTTAACTACCAGGGGGCGGCAGAGAAGTTAAGAGAAGGTTAAAACAATGGGTTTGGCTCAACATATGCCACCTGAGAAGCATGCGTGTGTTTCCTGTCTGTGCTATTGGTTAATGCCATGTATTTGTGGTACATGCTAAATGTTTAAAAGTTCAACTTTTATTTACGTGTACAGGCTTGGGTTGGTCTATGCTTGTATGGTGTGCTAAGTAGGGACTTAGTGCGCCTTTCACCTGTGGGCTCGTTGTTGTAAGTTGACTATGTGTGAGAGTATATTGTAAGGCGGAAATACACCTCATTTACAGTCAATCTATAGCCTGTGTGTACTGAGTGTGTCCTATGTTTAATGACAGAGTAGCAAGTAATGCAACCAGCTAGGACGCAATAGTGATCTATGATATTGTACTGGAATGAAACGTTGTCCTAATAAACATCCGAGTAACCATATTAATAGTATCAACGATAGATTAAAATAAGATGCTGTAGCCTTATGGTTCCGATGTGCCATAGGTAGGTGCAAAGTCCATGGCCGAAGTGCCAGCTGATGCCCCAGTCCTAGCTCAGTATTACTCCGGCACCGCTGTTGAGAGAGTGTGGTCTTGCGGGGATATGACTTCTTAGTCCCGTTCCCGAGCTGTAAGTGGCAGTCCTGTTTGAGGTCTAGGTTTGTCTCTGGTGGATGCATTCGTGTAGCCTGTCTGGGCACAAAGTCCATAGATGTCCCTGGGTTCCAGCTATGGGTCGGGTTATGTGCTGGGTTCTGGGAGTCTCCGTTATGTATTTTGCATTTTTAACGCTGATGTAAAAAGGAAAACGCCGCGCAGGAGTTCGGTCTAAAGTAGAAGGTCCGAAAAGTGGATTCGCCCGTGCGAAGGACATCTGATAGTGATGCTCCGGCTGCGTAGGCTGAAGAAGCAGCCGCGCCTTTCACCGAATGAGCCCCGAAAGTGGCACCCACGCCTGCCAGTGATCAAGATCCAGCGTACCCATCTAGTGAGAGTGGTAGAGGAAACTGGATTGTGAGGTTTGACATAGGAAATCAGGAGCTGGCCAGAGGAAGTCGGGCGGAGAGAGGCGGTAGTTGTCACGTAGCTGCGTAAGGCTGTGACCACACATAATTGAGGTTCTGTGACGAAAAAGGGGTCGAAAATGGCGGTGGAGTTCGATTTGGTGCGTCGGGAGACATGGAAGGTGACCCTTTCAGGACCTATCGAAAAGGCATCAACTTTGAAGGCTCTAACGTCGAATACCCGACGAAAAGAGACTAGGCAAAGTAACATTGTCATCTTGGCCGAAAGTTGTCTGTCGTTAGACGGCCATCCTCTTAAGAAGGTGAGGACAGGATCCATGTCCCAGAGGTGAGCGTATTTGGGGGCCGGAGGAAGTTTGAGTCGCATACCCCTCATTAATCGACATACCATAGGATCCCTACCCGCCGGAATCCCTTGGATAGGGATACGGGCCGCCAATCGAACTACGTTGATAGTTCTATAAGATTTCCCTGTTGCAAAAAGCGACGACAAGAAATTCAAGATGGTGGGAATAGGTGCGAGATGCGTTAGCCTGCCATTCATCTAGTATGGCCATAGTGTCATCAATATCTTCATCCTCCTCTGAGGAGAACACTTGGGGAGGAGCAGGGGTGACGGCGGCCGCTGTTTTGCTTTTCTTAGTGGGGTGTTTGCCCTTGCTCGGTTTGGGGTCCTTCTCCCCTTTCCAGTTGCGTTTGGGTTTCAGAGTCCTCAGACTCAGTGTCTTGGGGTGTGCGGCGTGGCCTGGAGTGTTCCGGTTGAATAGTCATCATGTGGGATAGGGCCTTTTCCATAGAAGCGGCCACCGCTGCATTAACCATGGACTGAAAGTCCACTGGAGTAGGCTGTGATTCTTCCATAATGTATGGCAAGGACTTGGCACTGATAAGAGGGCAGTTGAGGCAGGGGTCAATAGTAGGAGAGGATCCTACAGTAGTTATGGTACCAGCAGTACCAGATAGGGTAATGTTCCGAGAATAGTACCAGTAGTACTAAGGGTCCCAGTAGGGTAGAATAGCTCAGGAACAATAAGTACCAGCAGTACTGTATATATATATATATCACCCGAGCAGGGTGTATTGGGCTTTTAGTCTGGGCAGCACCCAGTGTGCAGATATTACAACAGCAGAGCTCTGATAGGCAGCACCTTTATGGGGCTTCACCCCAGAGTGCACAGGTCATTGAGCCCTATAGTGCACATATACCACAGGAGTAGCAGAGACTTTCTGTGCGGACCCCTGCCTGGATGAGAGTAATAGGAGTTGACAGTGGAATCTGAAACAGTAAGGGGATATAAGTGACCAATTGGGTTGTGGCACAGGTGGATTAACATAAGGTATATGCAAACAAGATATAAATAAAGAAATGCTTACCTTGGAGGACAAAAGCTGTAGATCTCCAGAACTGAGGCAGACCGAGTGGGTGAAGCTCCAAGATGGCGGCCGCGGGTCTCTCGATCCGCAAGATCTAAGATGGCCGCCGCCACACTGAAAGTGTGGGAAAATAGATCCGGCCATCGTGTAAACGCACGGTTAGGCGGCCGGGAGGGGATAGGGCTCTGCAGGGCTAAATATCAAGCGGTGGAAGGGAGAAAAAAACGGCGAAATCGCCCAGTGTAAAGTGAAACTGGAGTGCCCAGTGTACAGTCTGACAAAGGCTATGGTGTAGGAAGCCCCAGGAAATATCCTGAGTAGGATAGAGCTAATAAGGGGCAGATAAGGAGTGAAAGCTGAACAATAAAAGCTTAAACAATACATACAAAATAAAACAAGGAATATAAGTTATAATAAATATCCAAAAAACATGAATAAATATAAGGAGCTCAATATTCTGACCTGTCTGCTGATGGAGCAGTAAAGAAAGAGGAGGAGGAGCCTGTTCACTGGGAATACTTTACCTCCTACTGTTTTTTGATTGGTTCTTACTATCCTTTTCTTTACTGCTATGGAGTTTAGTAAAGAGAGTTATGCAAAATACGAAGCCTCCTGTCATGTATTCATTCATCCTTGTCTCCATTATTTGCAGCATATAACTGTAAAAAAAGGCCCTAAACAGTCTGTTATGTAACTGTGTTTTCCATGCTGTCCTTTAATTTTAAGATGGCATTCATACGCAATATACAATAGATAAAGTCCATAGTGATTCTCACAAAACAGATTCAGCAGAAAATACTTTCTTCTGCGTAGTATGAAGGTAGGAAATCCGGAAATTTGTCCGAACATAGATTAGAGAGATTCCCTGCTCTGGGGCGTTCGTCTATGTTCGGGGAAATTTTCCCGAACATAGACAAGTGCACCAGAGCAGGGAATCCCTTAACTCCCCACCTACCGACCAATTGGTTCTACAAATGGGTCGTAGGAACTGAACCCAGTCAGTAAGTGAGGAGTACCTGAAAATACATAATATATAAATATATATATATCATTTTTTTTTTTTTTGCTCCTCCTCGTCCCCTTTATTGGTTATGTTTCTTCACTTGATTAGTGAACTATATGAAGGGGAAATGTACCTACCAGTGTACTAGTTATATTATGTATATATTTTGCAGTGCAACTTTTATGAGATTTTTGCTTTGTCTTAATCAGTTTCCTGAATTTTTCTTTGTTAACAAAATTAAGTTTGGCTGAACTGCCATAAGACTGAAATTCATCCATCCAAAAAATAATTACATTTACATTACATTTCTGCAGTAGAGATTCGGCCAAAATAAATATTTCCAACATGTACAAGTCTAATTTGCATTAGGAGTATTATTTAGGCATAGTGTCATTGCGATCACAGTATCCACATCATATTGTCACATATTCATCTGCACATAAAAATGTGGTTAATGGCATTTACTGTCCTGACAGGAAAAGTTGTGCTGATCAGCATTATCGTCCTGACAGGAAAAGTTGTGCCGAGCAGCAATCATGCACATGGAAACCTGATAATTGCTTTTGGGGTCAAAGGCCAGTTACAGCCAAACGGATCCACAGGAGGGGTATTTAAACCCAATTCTCATTTTGCTCATTGCCCTGTCGTGGTTTCATCCTGATGGTAATCATAGAGTGCGATCCTGATCGTTTTGACTTCCCTGAATTCAGGTATCCTTGACTTTTGGCATGGGACATGGGACATTAACCCTAAATGTCCCATGTCCTAAGCTTAGTGAATGCACTAACTATAATGAAAGTGTAAAACTAGTTTTACTTACCTTCCAGGACCTGGCTGTGGAGGAGTAGCAGGAGTGCTAGCACGCATGTGCAGCACAGAATCCTGTAGCCCATGGATCAGCGCAGCTAAGAGGAATAGGCCTTGACAGAGCCAGGAGGTAGGCATAGCAGCCACAGGAATTTAGTGACAGCTAGCATGCTGGGTAGGGCGGAGCCATAAGGCGAGTATTTATACCAGTCATTATATGAAGTGGCCATTTTAACTGAAC